GTAAAATTAATATATGTTAATAAATTGTACTGAGAAGTATGAGGATGGCGAACAACGACTAACATAAAGATATCTGGCCGACCTGAGAAAATGCCTTAATATTAATCGGAAAAAAACAAACAAAGCCAAGCTAAAGTTCTAATTTACGGTGGATAACTGAATCCTCAACAATGCGTGACTTTTGCTAAGTTTCACAAGATTAACTATTGTGTAAGTTAATTATTCTAGGCCTTCTTTCTGCGCATATTCTCATTCAAACAAGAAAAGATCTATCAAACAAGTGAATCAGTTGAAACTTCTAATAATCAACAATGCTGTTGGAGATACTAAAGCAACAAGAATTAGAGTAAATTACATAAGTTTGCAGGACTAGTATAGGAGTTTAAAACAACCATGTTTCAGTTCTTGTTTAACATAATTGCAAATTAAACCAGAATGTCACTACGACGGCATCATATTTTATTTTATTATTATCTTTACATACTTATTACCATGCTGTAGAAGAAGAAAGCAAGCACAGAAGATCACAGCTGTGACTGTGGTTTCAACTGTGACCGTAACTGAAATATGCCCAGATTTTTCAGATTACTTTTCCGATTTCTTTACAAGGATACGTTTTTGGTAGTGTTTTGACACCAAAATATAAAAATTTCTTGGTAAGTATCACAACCCATTATTATTCATGAATTTCTTATTTAATCATTTATAGCACTCTTCGAAAGAAGAGAAAGCGCTACAAGCTCTTGCTAAAGAGTTCTTGGCTCAGAAAATTTCGGCCGCAGGTGTGTCATACGTGGTGAATTCGAAATCAAAATTCAGGAGAAAATTATGGTTGATTGCTGTGATGATATCAATGCTATTCATGGGATATATGACATTTAAGGTCGTTAAAGGTTATCTCAAGTACCCGAAGATGCTTATCAGAGAAGTAAGAATTATTATTACTTTCTCCCTTGTATATTTTGTTATGTGAACACTGTACTTCCATCATAGGAATTATGAAAATTTTTTTTTCTGCTACTTAAATTAGTTTTGTAATTTAAATATTTAAGAGAAATATGTTTTTCGCCTGACAATTCTTTAAGCTTTCGAAAAGCTAAGTGCTACTTAACACATTCTGCTATGTATAAAAACATTTTTTAACATAAGTATGAAGCTATTATAGTTTATTTACGCATCAGTTGTTTAGTTTAGCTTTCTGTCTATACCTATTTGAAATAGTAAATTTGTGCAGAGAGACCTTTTCGTCAACAAAGCTATTTTAAAGCTTAGAACGAATGCGTCTATTTCAGCACACGAAAATCTATTTTACGTCATCAACCAAATGTAGAAATAATGTATTGCGAAAATATTAATATGATGTTATTTTAAATTGTTATAAATTATATAAGGTTTTTCGAAACCTTTAAACTTTTGAAGGCCATTATTGAAAAATGAATGTCCTGTACTTACCAAAAATACTTGATACTTTCCTGTATTTTGTTCTGTATGCTTACATTTTGCAGAATACTTTAGAACGTTTTGCGTTTTTCGGGTTTTAAAAGCCGTAAATACATATTCGCATAAAGATTTGGAAGCGCGAGAAATGTTAATGATACTTTAAGAATAAACGGAAACAAAAGAAGATATAATTTCCACCAAAACAATATCAGATTAACAAATATCATATTCAAAACTATGAGCTATAAAAGTAAAAATAATCTCTTTCCTTCTTGCGCTCCCAAATCATTAAGAGAAAATGCATTTAAAGATTTTAAAACCTGAAAACGGCATGTGTGCGATGTTATCGTCATGCGATGATTTATAGGCACTTTATTTTTTACCACGATGTTTTCGACGACGATATTTTTAAGCTGCGAAGTTTTTGAACCGCTTTATTTGCGATGACGATATTTTGTACCACGATGGTTTTAGAACTGCTATGTTTTCTCTTTGCTTTCTTTTCTCCCGCGATGTTTTTGTACCACAAGGTTTTTGCCTTGCGTTGTTTTCTCTGCGATGTTTTCGTCCGCGATATTTTTGCCGCGATGTTCCGATCAGTTTACCATTATTCATTTGGTACTTTGTTCATCTACTTTGTAAATGGATTCTTCACGATCTATTTCCTTGGTTTGCATACTTGACTGTCTCTCTGCAGAAATACGTACGGAATGCATTAGCAGTCAGGTCCTTATGAGACTCTTTCAGTAACTGGCAAGAGTAGGGAATAAATACTATTACCTGCTGCAGGCCAGTATAACCAACCAAGTATCAAAGTAGTTTCTCCCTCTTTCCTGCATGCCTGCGTGCTGGAACTGGAAACACGCTCGACGCTTATTCGAGAGGTCTGGAGCTCGAATCACGAAGAGAGCTCTGAGCACAATTTCCTGGCTTCGAAAAACCTTAATGACTCTACAAACTACCGAGTAACACTGTTTCATGCTATGAAGAGAAACTGCAAACTCCCATTAGCAATATGCATAAACTAAGATATGGTGGTAATTATATCTTTTACTGAGATGTTTGTAAAATATTTTATTCTTGATAATGATCCTAACTTTCTCAGATAAATGCTTATATTATACTTTCAACATGTGTTCTCTCTCAGCATAAAATACATTTTGACGTCTGGCAGTTTATTTTTAAAAGTATTAGCCAAAGTTATAGAGATAACAATGTAGATCATCAGGTCGCTACAAGAACAGAATGATCAAGAATCGTCTAAAATTTGCAGGCTTTCTTCATCCAGTAATTGCATAATCTATATGTATAAAGAAGAATGTCTGTTTGTGTGTTTGTTTGTTCGCGATTAACTCACTCACTACTATAGCTACTGTCACCAAACTTTTACAGTTCTTTTCTGGGTCTTGGAAAAGTTCGACGTGCACTTTTTTCAAGCCAAAAAAAGAATAGCTAAAATCAGAAATATTAATTAAAACTCTGAAAACGCTAATTTTCGTCCTTATTTTTCCGAGTGGCGACAGTCTCGCACGCTAGAGATAAAAATCTACTTTATTTCGAGAAGTGTTGCCATTGCTCACTTTATCAGATCGTACGGGTTGTTAATAAAAAAATTAGTTTTACAATGAAATAAAAATAGTATTGACAAACATTATATACATTATTCCCGATTCGAAAAATTCATGGGAAGCCATATCGACTATTCCCATCTTCGTACGACTTTAATCAACCGAGTTATTAATTTAAAACTTTGAAAACACTAATTTTCGCACTCATTTTTCCGAGTGCACACGGCGTGTGACAAAAAATGCTTATTCAAATGTGGCTAGCTAATACGCCGCTTCAAACGTCGAGTTGTTATTCAAAAATTTGTAATTTTACAAATTTCTATATAAAGAAGATCTGCCTATTTGGTGTGGTTTGTTGTTTGGGGCGTTAGACTTCTGATCAATTAGGCTCATTTTTACCCCATCAACGACTAAAATTGAATATGGTGAAAATATGGCAGACTGGAGGCTTTACGACACTTGATTAAAGACAAAATCATTGAAAACTGCGTGCTTGGTCTATATACTGGAGAGAATGAGATCGAATTTTTAGTGTTCTATCGCAACTGAAATGTTGATTTGATCAACATTGTAAAGAGGAAGCGTATGGTTGTCATCTCAAAAATTCAACTAACGGTCGGTACTTCGCATTAAAATAAAGAATGGGTAATTATTTTGTTTTTAAAAATTTTTTCTTTTTATATATTTAAAATTTGCAATGAAAGAAATTATTAAACAAAAATAGTTTTCCACTTAACCTGATTCTGCTCTAACAGGGGGGCCCTATTGGTAAAATATCCAACTTCAGGCGAAATGACTAAATTATTTAAACTTTTTATTTCTTCAAGCCAAAAAATTATTACCCGAAAGAAAATGGGACCCGGATCTTGTAAATAACTAAATTCGTCGTACATATTTTGGCAAATCGTGTAGTGCTTTTCGTAAATTAAGTTGTTAGCTATAATTTCTTAAGCACGGATGAAAATAACAGAATATAATATTTGCGCCTATTTTTTAAGGCTTATATAAATTAAATAGGGTGCATTTTCATATAAAAGGTAAAGATTATTTCATTACGGATTTCCTATGCGACATCGAAGATCACTACACATTTTTATCGGGTAAAATACGTACATTAATTGTTTATTCTGAGAAGGCGCATTCAGGCGAAATTCAAAATCAATAAATAAATTAAAAAGACACACTTTTAGCCCCAGACGAAGTTGGACCTAAAGGGCTATATCTCAAGTGAATTTTGCGTCGTTTCACTTTCCTGCGGGTTCACTTTCAACTGTTGCCACGAAATTCGCCATGTATGTATTTAAAAAATTAATAATGAATATCTGCGTAATGCATGAATGTTTCCGAATGTGAAACACCATGTCCTAACCATCAATTTTGATAACGTATCCCCCCTAACACGGCACTTGGAAGCCCGAATTTTGATTTCGAATTTGTTTTTTATCTATTTCAAATTTTGTAAACGAATTAATTTAATAATAAAAATAATTTTTACGATTTTTATCAATAAACACAATTATTTCAAGGCGAGAATGCAATGCTGTCCGAAAAAAAAAAAAAAAAAAAAAAAAAAAAAAAAAAAACATTGTTTTCCAGCGCGGGAACTATGTATGGAAATACAAAGATAGCTGTTGCTGTGAGATATTGCTTTGATTAAATTTTATGTGCTTTAAGTGTGAAGAATATGATATTTAATAAAAATGCTCTTTTGGGCTTAATTTAAAATCTGAAAAGCTTTCAAATTTTCTTTATTTTATTTTATAAATATCTCCTATAGTGCCGCAAGTTTAAAAACTGTTTGTTTAAGCAGCGTAAGAAAGATTTTCTTTTACTTGGAATTAGAAATACTTCTTATTAATTTTCCTGATATGAACCAACACACTTATAAAAATTATTAATTAGATATATAAAAATATCTCATAAATAAAACATAAATAAATCATCTATGTAGTAGATATTATTAAAAATAAAATAAAGATAACATACTAGTTTGCTGTCACATTATTCTACTGTTACGATTTTGTTGTTTTAATTTGAAAGATAATTTAAACACCTTGTGAGACATAAAATAAGAACATTTATGACAGATTGCGGGCGGTTTGTTGTTGAATTCGGCCGCCATAAATGTTGATTATTTCTTATCGGTTTTCATATTTTAATTTAACGCTTTATGAAAGTTATGTTTACGAACTTTATGTTTCAGGTTAATGCAGTGAAATTAACATTCGTTAGAAATTAATATCGATATTTTTCTAACAGAATATGTGATTTTACCGAGTTCATAAAGTGAAAAGAGGATTTTAACAACACAAATAACATGCATGTTAATGGTAAATTGAAAATATTAATTACTATAGTACATACGTTGATATTATATAATTACATATGCTTTGAAAATATAAAAATGTGATGTAATTTTAATTTCGTTTTCGATTTTAGGAAGACATCTGGACAGAAATGATGTTTCCCGCTGTCACTCTTTGTTCATTAAATCCTATTCTAAATCAAAACATGGAAAAAACTTCCATTCATAAATTAGCGAAGCTGAAAGAAATGCTGCAGAATATTCAAACAACATCGTGAGCTACACTTTTATAAATTTTCATATTTATTAACTGCATAGTTGTTTAAAATATTTGGAAATATTTAAATATTTCGAAGTGTTTTTCTCATTGGTCTGAATTCTGCAGCATTCTGAATTACTTTTCTATTCTTTATGCCAATAAAATATTTTTATGTTTCAGGTCTAACTCAGATTTACGAGACAAATGTTATATAAATGCATTATGTATGTGGTCATGGTTCAGCGAAAGATGTACTTGTGTCCCAAATCCATGTTTAACCGAATTCTGTATAGGAGAAAACGCTACGCATTGCATTTGCTCTCCTGTTTTCTGCAAAAACCGTACTTACCATACTTGCAGTTCTGATCCTTCTTACTCAGAGGGATGCTTTTGCTCTAACGAAGATGCGTATAAGAGCTTTCCGTCGCATCCTTTATCAGATGGTAATGATTAAGCACATATTTTTCATATTTAATTATTCTAAAGGCTGGATCACTATCTTAAGGAATACCATAAAAATAAATACGTAATTAGATCCAGAAATGAAGAAACAAGTATACGTAGTGCAACCTTTCAGCTTTTCCGACGTTTTTTTAAAAATATTCCTTCGAATTGTCGTCACATTTTGCAATGCCGGATTCAAATAGTTTGTTCAGTTCGTATTTGGCTCGAACGTCTAGCCTCGAATTCTGTCTAGCGGACCCTAGATAGAATTTTAAACTGACTGAGTTGCTCCTCATGAAAGCTTAAGTAATTTCATTAAAAAAGTTTATTAATAATAAAGACTACAAACACTAATATAACGATAATCGTATAATATAAAAGTTTCTGCAATAAAATGAAAAACATAAAAAGTATATATAATTATAGCCATTAATCAGCTTTCGAAAAACTTAGCTTTCGTTTTCGGAATTTTGTATTGAAAAGAAACTGATCAGTATTATTTTCCCAATGTAGCCATTCGAGCATATCTTTTTCAACAGCAAGCATAGCTCCCTATTGTATGACTTTTATACAGTGTCTCACAAAAGTGATGGGACACTTGTGCTTTACAAAAGGAAACTGTAATAAAATAAATTAAAAATACATGTAAAAGTTTTTTGTGGGTGTGTTTTATACTTAATTAGTTACAATTATTACATAAACATACATTTTCTCAAAATATTAAATAATATTTAATAAAAAACAATTGTTTAGAACGTAGCAAAAAATGGCTCACATAAGTGATGGGACACCATAGATACTACTACGTACTACAATAAAATATTTGTGGGGTTTTTATTTTACTCAAAAGCAATTAGCAATAATTTAAAATCGTCTGCAGTCTTTCTCTCCAGTTTGTTTTGGAATTTTTGTGTTTTTTAGCTCTGTGCAGCAATGCTAAACGAAAGTAACTTTGCCTGAAATTCGAAATTAGTATTAATTTGCATATTGAACGTGAAAAGTCTATTAGAGAAACTGCTGAAACAGTAAATGAGTCTTCAACCGTTTTTCAAATCATTAACCGATATAAAGAATCATATGATTCAGGATAAAGAAAGAACTGGCTGACCATCAAAGCTATCCAATGGAATAAAGCGAATTTGTTCAAATATGTAAAAAAATCGAAGAATGAGTGCTCCAAAGTGTGCTGATTTACAAGATATATGAATATTGTTAACCTGAGACTATTAGAAAAGTAATTGATCGCTGGCCATCACAGGAGAGCAGCAGGAAAAATTTTCGTAAGGAAAGAATAGAAACTCAGAATGGCTTCGCAAATCCAACAAAATAAGAACTCTTTTACTGGAATGAAGTTATATTTGCTGTGCGAGTAATTAATATATTTGGTCGACTGTAAATCTTGTGTAGAGAAAAACCAGAAAGAATTCGCAAAAGGAACTTGTGCAACAAACATGGTAGGAGGAGTTATGTATGGGGGTGTATGTCGTCCGCTGGTGTTGGTCTTGTTTTTATTGACAGTATAATGGATCGGCACAAGTATGTTAACATTTTAAATCAAAATTTGAAATCTTCGGCACGAAAATTGAACCATCGTAACGATTTTAAATTCTACCAGGGCAATGACTCCAAGCACACTGCTTTGAACGTTAGAGTCTGGCTGCTGTATAACTCTCCTGGAATAATAAAAACACCACCACAATCTCCAGACTTAAATCACATAGAAAATATTTGGCAAAAATTGGAATCAAGAATTCGCAAACACACCATTTATTCAAAACAACATAAATTTTGCTCAAGAAGATGGATTAAAAATCATACAGAAATCACAAAAATTAGTCGATCATCCAAGAAGATTAAATCACGTTTTAAAAGTAAAAGGAAATCAAAACATTAAAAATTTTAAGAAGTAAATTTTGTAATATTTGATGAAAAGTAAGTTCCATCACTTTGTGGTCATTTTTGGCTCGTTCTAAACAATTGTATTTATAAATTATATTTTATATTTTGAGGAAAATGTAGTTAGTAATAATTGTTACTACTTACGTCTGAACACACCACAAAAAAGTTTTACATGTTTTTTTAATTTATTTTACTACAGTTTCCTTTCGTAAAGCACAAGTGTCCCATCACTTTTGTGAGACACTGTAGCTAAGTAATCATAACAGTACCTTATGTTAGGAAGAGAAGACGCAATGTTGTTAGTTTTTATGATCTATTCAGGCTTTGCAAATTTTGTTTTTGAGTCATTAAAATAAATTATATCGGCTCATTACCTAGTTCTTCAACATCAAAATCGTTGAAGTAAACATTCTCTCTTATTTCACTTGCATAATTCCATAACATTCTTTGAATCTTCAAATTCTGCAAAAACACATTAAAAATATTTTGGTAATTTCTTGATTTTTTTTTTCATTTGGTATCGATTTTGTACAAATTTTGTTACAAATTACATAGAATGTATTTATTTTAGATTCGGTTTGACTATTTGGATTCTAAAGCATTCTAACAGCTAGGCGATGCAGAACAAGAATGTGTAAATTCTTTCTATCAAATTAAATTACAATGTCAAACAACATCGAGCAGTGCATATTGAGTATTGAGTAATTTATAAAGCATATAATGCACTGTTTCTTTATATTTCATCGATATGCTTGCCTATGCTTGACATTTTATTTCCGAGTTTTTGAGTTTCGGTTTCAAAATTCCGATACCACAATCAGCGTTTATTCCTGATCTTTCCAGTATTTTTTGCAGTTTCTTCACAGGGTGCATTTCTAGAATAGGTGGACGGAACTGAGCTTTGTGTTCGCATTATCACCTGCCGGCAAGGGATAATGTTATCAAACCGGTACCTGAAGCTATTGTAATTATCAATTTTATGCAAAGGTCTATTATTTTATTTCTCTTAATATTAAGTATTTGCAACATTTTGAAGGAAACAAAGGAATTTTTGGCGAATAAATTCCATTCAGAATTAGATTTTAATGAACATAATTTTAGATTTACCACATATTATTTTACTGGAACAAACTTTTGGAGATGTTACAATGTGATGATGCCCTATACTTTGACATTCAAAAAACCTAATCTAACCTTATTCCATTTATCTTCAACATTTAAATAGTCGTTTGACTTAAAAGTTTGAGTTCATTATCTATTAAGCCATGAGGCTGCTAATCATAAAGGATTAAATTTTTTGATTTAAAAACACACCGTTGTCAACAAATGTACGATAACTAAATAAATGAAAAACTACTAAAACTTGTAAAATTATTTTGGAATTAATTTCGAAATCTTTTTAATTGAAAGATTTTATTTTTATCTATTTGTAAAGACTGAAATTCTGTTTTGATTATTTTGACCACGTTGAACAGATACATGAGAGTATTTCAACTATAAAGAATGTACAGACATTAGGTATTTTTAGGAAGCAGGCAAGATGAAAAATATGCAACGCCTTCGCCGGGAATCGAACCGCGGACCTCTTAATTACGCCCTGAGCGTGCAGACCACTACACCACGAAGGCTCGCTAAGAAGGCGGGAAAAATAACTTATGAGACATAGATAAATAATTTTTTTTAAAAGAACCAAGTTTTATTGAATATTGTAGTTTTAAATGCGTATGCATGAAAACGTTCAGGAAGTTTGAGTACGTAGAACTCGATGAAAAAATTAATACTAGTTTTACGGTAGAAATAACATGCATCATTTTTGATAGGGGAGTAATTATCAAGTTCTATAAAAGAATCACATCGAAATTTTTATATTCCAAATTTAAGAAAAACGACATTGGGAACTGAAATAACTTTACTTGCATTTTTAGAAATATACATAAATGTAGTTCTTAAATCTCATAAGATAAAAACAATTCACTGTTAAGCATACTGTAATTTAACAGAAAAATATATTGTGAATAGAGCTATATGATAAACTGATATAGTAATACTGAAAAAAAAAATTCCAGAAATATGGTTATATTACGTACTGAGTCATTGAAAATTATCAGGAGAAAAATACTGTAGAAGGTTTTCTATTGTTAACATTTTGCAGAGGAATAAATTGCAAAAGTTTTAAGTTCAGAATAAAAATACCGAGAGGTTAGTTGGTTGGCATGATGATTGCATTGACGTACATCAATGTAATTGATGGCTAAGCAAATGATGCATGTAGACATTAGGAGGAATGCCTTCATGGAGAGATTTCTAAGGAAATTAACTCGTATTTAGGATACATAACGGGAGAAGTACTAAGTACGAAACCCTGAATGAATTTCCAGTAATCAGTTTTGTTATCTACTATGCCAACTGTTGAGATCCTGCCAATGAGAGAGAAAGTTTTTATTATTAGCAATAAATTTTTAATTTTTCAAACGTTGCAGCACAAAGTATGGAATTATTCATTTATATTTATATGGAAATGATTCGAATAAAATTATATTAATAAATTCTTAGAACTAGTTAACTAAATATTGTAAGATTTTAACACAAAATTTTCTTCTGCGGTCGTTGCATGGAACGGTTAAATTCAGCCGAGCTGGTAAACCAGACGTCATTTGATGGTGTATTAAATTTAATGCATTTTAACATCATAGCATCTTATAATGCATGGCCTGTCAGTTACCACCATCCTTGATGGACAAGTATGCATATCGATTAGTTTTAGTCTAAGATTTTATCTAAATTAAATAACACCGGTGACCTCTGTGTTGATCTCTCAAAACTAGTTCTGTAGTTTCTTTCTCTGAAGATCACAGGTGATCAGCAGCTTTTTATGGACCCCGATAACTTTCGGTTTAATTTAGATTTAAATTCTGTCTAAATTTAGTGCACCTTTCTCACCCTTCTGACATGTTTGTTATACGTATAAGTGATTGTTAACCTATAGTTTAATAATGATCAGGGCCTTGTCGGTCACCTTCAGACTAACTTAAAAGCTATCTAGATTTACTGCATCTTCTCACACTTGTAACATATTTGTGAACCCCAAGTGAATGTCAACTTATAGGTTACTTATGATAAATGCCTTGACAATCGGCTTCAGGTTAATTTTGTTTTAATAATTTACCTACATTATATAACTTATAATATGTCCACTTCGTAATTTTTATTAATATATGGAGAATTGTTTTAATTAATAAATGATGATCCTAATGCCATATATTCTGCACTTGGTATGGAATCGTTTATTACGTAATATTTATCAATTCAACCGTAAAATTAATTTTTTCGTGATGTTCCATTCTAGCTTCTCACACTTGAGAATTTCTAGGGGGGGCGATAAAAGTAGTACCATTACAGGCATTTTCGGTTTTTCTGCAGGTATTCTGGGTTGAACATCAAAACTGATCTCATTTCAATTTTTGTCTCTATTACCCCTTCACTATGGTTGATGAGGAGAGGTAAAGTTGCTCAAGAAAAGAGGATAATGAATTGATATACTCGCTTATTTAAGAAAATTCATTGTTTTAAATCCATTCCTTTCTTATAGCCTGGAATTGTATTTTTATAAATAACTACAGCAAGACCAAAACACATCATATCTTAAAATTGTATTGTGAGAGTATCAGAGCCTTTAGTGAATCCACATTAAATAACACGTTTGCTTGTTGGCCATTGAATATCTATTAATGAGAACTAATTCCTGTGTAGAAATTTAAAAAAAACTTTACGTACTTTAAACAATTCTGAAAATAATTGAGCGAAAAACAAATAAAATAAAAAAAGGGAAGTTTCTTAAGGCGAGAGGAAAACACTTCTTTTAGCCGAACAATGGACTAACGAATCTTCTATTAAAATTATAGTAATATCTAGATTTTGAATAATCTTTTGAGCACTGCATTTCAAATTAAAATTAATGCTAGCTTAATCCTCAAAAAGTCTCATTTTTCGCTTGCGTTTAGAATTTTCATTTAATAGAGTTCTTATAATTCTTAAGCCTTGATTATTCTTTGCAAATAGTCTTGACCATGTTTAAAAATAACAGCATTAAATTGTAATCAAATAAAGCAAATTTTGAAGTCCGGCATTAGGTATGATGCCAGTGACATTAATAATGCATCAAAACAGTCGCTGAACACGAAGATGAAAGGACAGAGCGATACTGTGACATGATTTGATGTATATATCACTCTAACTTCGAGTTTCCATATTTACCATTGATCCTGAAAAGAAAGGCTGAAATTTGAACCTCTCTTACCTACCTCATCGAAAGAGGCTGAACTAGGACAAATTTAAAAAAAGCCTCATCTGGGAAGACGCAAAATGTGACAAAAACAAATATTATCTCGTTTTACAGATAAAATGATTATAACACTTTCACACGTACGAATATAATAATCAACAGGAAGAGTTTCAAAGTCAAACTAATCATCGTCAAATTTCAATCTTTGCACCATCGGAAAGATCGAAATATAACTATTCTAATAAAGGGTTTTTGGAATGACTACATTTTGGCGGTTTTCAAAGAATCATTAATCATTAGATTTTATTACCTATCGAGTAATTGCTAATAACAATTTATATTTAAATCAAACTTTTTAATCCCTCATTATTAGTACCACCATGCTTTTAAACATGGTGGTACTAATAATGAGAGTGATTTCTAATCAAACAAATACTTAAATTGGACAGAAATCTGTGCCATCAAACAGATCGAAAAGCCTCAAAAAATGATCTCCTCGCGTGTACTTGCTACACTAATTAGGGGGAATAATTTCGCTATGTTAAGAGGCGATTTTTTCTCTTTTATAAATTTTCTGCATTCTATAAACTAAAACATACATGAAAAAGTTACGTGTAATAGTTTTTTAAGTAGAATCCTTCTAGATAAATGCGCCAAATGTATAAATTGATTTTTTAGTTATTATAATGTCCTTGGTCATACGTAAAACTAAATCCAAAATCATGGAGCGGCTCTATGCGAACTGGTTTAATCCATTGACATAATTTCAAGGAACAATCGAAGTTGTAATATAGGTAGAATATACGTATGTATGAATGATTACATTGAATTCAGTTAAATTTCCTGCGAGAAGTTTGATTAAATATTAACAATTGTTTAAGAAAAAGCATTTTATTTCTAATCGTATACAACCAAGAATTAGATAAGTTTTTATTTTTTTAGTGTATTTAACTAAAGTATCGGAATTTGAAAGGTAATTTTTATATAATTTATTTGTGTTTCGGTTTATAATTTCTTATTACTTCAGCAATATTTCCAGTAGAAATGTTAATGAGAAACAATCTCAATTTTCATAGTTTATTTTTTATTTTCAGATTACTTGGATTACATTAATGATACGGAAGTACGCGGTATTGTACAGTTGATTCGAAAAGCGTTGTATGACCTTTCAGATATTGAAGAAGACTTGCTTCCTACTACAGATGATTTGTTTGATTATGGTGTCAGTTTTGACAACTTAGTCATAGCCTGCAGCTTCGAGCAACGGACGTGTTATAGAAAGTAAGATATTTATATTGTTTAGATGCAGTTAAACGCGCAGATTCATTTGTGTTTTTAAATTCAGTTTGAGGGTTGTAGAGACATTAGGTATTTTTGGAAGCAAGAGAGATGAAAAATGAGCAACCGCCTTCGCCGGGAATCGACCACGGAGCTCTGAAATACCGGCCCAGCGTTCAGAACCACTACACCACGAAGGCACGGTAGGAAGAGGGGAGAAATACCTTATATAATCTCCCTTTTTAAAGGGCGACTGGGGTTTTTAGAAGACCCAATCGCCAAATTCTGGGTGAGGAGAATCCTCATTCAACACCCTTTTAGTTCGGGCGCCACTGTAGAGACATTACGTATTTTTGGGAAGCAAGCGATCGAACCACGGACCTCTGGAATACCGCCCCAGCGTGCAGAACCACTACACCACGAAGGCACGGTAGGAAGGCGGGAGAAATACCCTATAGGGTTCTAGTTGAACCTAAAGACGCCTCATACGTAACTCTATTATAAAGTAGTTAGAAATTAATGAGCTACAAGAAGATTTTACCTTTACTTTAAAAGCTAGTAATAAATAAATAAGAATACAAAATTAAAAGATTTTTATCTTTTTCTGGTAGATCATTGAAAAAAAAAAAACTACATAAAATTAAAATCAAATAAATATTGCTTTTGTATATAAATTAAAATACAAACAATAATTAACTTTACAAAAGTGCAAACTTCAGATTAAAAAACTACTCTTATGTATCTGGTACGCACATTGTTTGGAGTGTAATAGATGGGCGTGTCTGCGAAAGCTGTTTCGTTATCATTCAACTATATTATGCCTAATTTACATTTTCTGGTAAAATTGAGCAGAAATGAGAAAATAAAAAGAAAATGAGATGCTAAAACAAAGCTAAATACACTTTTTAAATAACTAAATGCAGAATCGAATCTTTATTCGGTCAGGAAGTAAGAAAGGGCTTTTAACTTCGAATGTTAAAGTACAGGGTGGTTATAATTGAAGTTCCACTTTGAAATGCTTATAAATGGAAAACTACTGGACCAAATGTTATCAAACTTGGTAATCTTGTAAAGAAGGTCATGGGAATTTATTTTCCACGAAAAAAGAAAAAAATAATAAATAAAATTTGAAAAACTCACCACTGGGAGAAAATGGCGCTGCATGCAATATTGTTAAACGAAATAAGACATGAAGACCTCTGTTAATCGTTTCTGAAACGTGCTACAAAGCATGTTCAATGTGGCGTCCACCATTTTCCGAAAGCAAGTTAAATCGTATTACTGGCATTCTCAACAGCAGCTCTTAGCATATCAGGAGGAATGTTACGGACGTGTTGGTGTATCGCATCTTTCAACTACGCCAAATTGTTTAGATTATTTGCATTAATCATTTGCTTCTTCCTCCCGTAAACGAATTACAAGCCACTGATGTTTAGCATCACTCCACAAACAGTTTCGTTTTAGAAACAACTAAAAAATTTTAAACCGATATCCTCATGTCTTGAGGGGTGAATTCAGACTTCAAAAATTACAAATTAGCAATTTGTACGAAAACGATTTCCGGAATGCGCACACTTTTGCGAGTGATTTGCTATCTCACATTTTCTAATCGCTAATTTGTGGTTTTCATAGACGAATTTCTTCGTTACATGGATGGCGCACTCGACGTTAATCGCCTTTAACGCCCTTAAATGGTAATTTTGTTTAAGTCAATGTTTCTTAAGGGTATACAACATGTTAAACCCGTGTAACGAAAGGTTAAGTTAAATTCCGACCCTTATTTCGTTTAAGAATATTGCATACAGCGCCATTTCCCCTTGGTGAGATTTTAAACTGTTTTTTGCGGGAAATAAATTCCCATGACCTCCTTTACACGATTACCAAGTCTGATAACATTTGGTACAATAGCTTTCCTTTTATGACCATTTGAAAGTGGAATTTTAATTATAATCACCCTATATTTTCGGAAAGATATAAAATAAAAATAAACACGACTGTTGAATCCTTATAGATGATACAGAAAACTGAATACATATGTAGATCGCAAAAGCAGAACTTTCCAATTTTGTCGTAAACACTTTCTTAGTGTTTCATTAAATCTGCTTTGAAGTAATCAAAATTTTTACATTTTGTATATGTTACTGATAAATTCTTAATTAATACATTGTATTTCTTTCCTTAACATTTCTCAAATCATATTCTTTTTTGGAATACTGGAAAGTTGAATTCTTTTTTTTCCCATTTTAAATAACTGAATATTTAATTTTTACATTGAACGGTCTGACGATGACGTGTATGTATTGAAATATCTCTGTATATCTAAATATCTATCAGTTTGCTCAACAGTCCAACAAATAGATATTCTGAGTTAACGTGACATTGCTCATGTTTTCTGCAAAGAAATATCCCCCTTTTTCTACAATAGAAATTCTTTTGTTGTCACGAGCACTAATCGCTGTTGTCGAATGTATAATACTGCTTTTCCTTGAAAGAAAGTACTTTCTGCATATAAGAAAGTCATTGTATTATGACCATAGATACAGTCATACTGAATGTGTAGTAATACTCCATCTAATATTTTGATGCATTTGCCCTTAAAAAAGTCGCTTTCATGTGATATTTCCAAAAATCTTCTGTTTTTGGAAACCTCTGTGAATGTTCAGCGTTTGTGTTTCATTTTTTATTATTACTCCGTGATTCTGCTACTCAAAAGTTGAAAATTAAAAAAAAAAATGTTTTGTATTATTTCACCCGCTTCTTGAATACGTGGTTAGACAACCATGTAACTGTGAAAAATGATCGATATCAGATGGAACAGGAAAGACTATCAAAGTCAACCCATAATTATTTAAAACGGATGATATGAAATAAAATACATTTCGAAGATTATAACATGAACTTGGAAAAATTAGTTTTCCAGAGAAATAAGATGTAATGGTTTGGTTTGGTTTGCTTTATTTAATTACGGCAAATCACACGAGGGCTATCTACCTAAAGGGAGGGATGCTTTCGTGAAGGACTTTCTAATAAGATGTAATGACCGTAAGCAATACAGTGAAATTTTAAATGATATCAGCGACAATAGGATAGGAATAATCTTGAGTCCGAAAGTATTTCTTAACACTTTTAATGAAAAGATGCTAAACACGTACAATTTTCAAGGCCAAACACACGTAGAAGAAGCAATATACTGTTATTTTTCCTTTTTGCATTTAAAAAAAGAATAATATTTCGATAATGATGCTCTTTGTGAATTATCAGAAATTTACTTATATTTGTTTAGTAACGTGAATTTTAATTCTATTTTGCAATAATATAGTATTTTATATGACGCAAATTTCGGTACATAATGATTGCGATATGCAACGATCTGCACTGCAATCAGAAGTTTTTTGCAGTAATACATCGAGTCATTTTTTATATAATTTGGAAGATTACCCAAATAAAACGCTGAAAGCCATCAAAGCAAATTTCTATTATATTTGATTATGCTTTTGCTACGAAAACTGAAACTGTTTCCAGTTTTCATGGAATGAGTTAAATGTAGCTGACATGAATAGTTACACTGCTGTTTCGAACATGTTTTCACCGCAGTTTGTCCTGTTACGCCAGTGTACAGTTTCGTTCGCTTAGCTTTCATCGAAAGTGTCTAAACTGTTAGTAGACCTTAAGCGACAAATCGCTAAGTCTCAAATAACAACAGGAACTTGGGAAGGGTGTAAAAGATCCTTCATTAAAACTAAATAAGAACTCAAACTTGTGCTTACAACTCAACCAACCACTAGTGGAGAGATAACTTAAAACAACAGAAAGTCAAATGTAAAATTTAAAGAAAATAGTAGCCGAAGGCCACACGATAAATTTAACGCGAAGTTGGTTCAGAATTTAACGAGCATGGAATTCAACTATCGGCTGCAGTTATAATGCAAAGCAAAAGACAAGAACTCTTATTTGAGACAGCAGTAGGTAACACGGCCACGAGAGGCAGAACACGCTTTGTTTTAAAATTTCTAAAACCCTAACATTAAATAGATGCGACCTAAATTTACATTCTGGCGGGAAAACGGAAAGAGACATGGGACAAAAAATGATAGAAAGAGAGAAATAACTGGTTAATTAACATAAAGGAAATTCACTCAGTAAATCGAAAGCTGAAAGTGCATCAACATTTTCTGAGACAAATACAATTTTCAAAGCAAATAGTATTTACTGGATGAAAAAAAATATCTTGCTTGCATCTCTGGCTGGGGAGCACGATCAGTGTCTTAGCTAAAATGTTCTGAAAGTTATTAGGAAAACCAAAAATGACTTGGAAATAAGCAAAGTATAAACAAACAACCGAAAGTCCATCCCACTAACAGATTTTAGTAAGCAGGAACAGGACCGGATTTAGATTTGATGAAATCCTAAGCTATTTGAGATATGGGCCCTTTTATGAGGGATATGAGTAATTTTTTTATTTGGAATATGGTACAATTTTTGGGGGTGGCCCCAAGAAAGTGGGTCCCTAAGCTACAGCTTGTGCAACTTATACGTAAATCCGGAACTGAGCAAGAAACACTAAAAACTTTTAGAAGCCAGAAATGCCACATAGCAGGCTCGAATAATGCACATTGTATTTTCTCCAAATATGCTACATTATAGTTCACTTGTTTTCAGGAAAGATTTAAGCGTATGCACTTTGGCATACACTTAAATCTTTCCTGAAAACAACGGGTTTAACGTGGGTAGGTCCTTTCTCAGACCGCCCACCAGCGGCCGAGCGGTAAAGACGCTGAACACTGGTAGTTCGGTCTGAGGTTCTAATCCCGCGAACGGGCTGGCTGCATGGTCGTTTTCGGGGTTTTCCCCATGTGTAACGTGTATACGAGCCAGTTTCTCTTAGAAAGTCCTCCACGAAGGCATCCCATCCCTCCCTTTAGGCAGATAGCCCTCGTGTGCTTTGCCATAATTGAATAATCCAATCCAATCCTTTCTCAGACCATTATGACAATAGAGAAGGAACAGTGGTAAGGGACAATGTCTGGGCTGTAGTCTAGACAAAACATATGTTTGATGAAATGTTTCTGTATGTTCTGCAATTGCTTGGGATATTATCATGGTGTGCAATGATTTGATTTTGTGGCCGTTTTACCAGGAGTCTATTGTTCGATGATTATTAAATACACAGCTAATGTGTCACTGGGAAACGATGGCATAATGCCTCTCTATTGTTACTGAAATAACATGCCTGGTCCGACCGAAGATCGTACCAATAGTTTGCGTACATTGTGATCTATCTTAATTTTTACTGGTAAATTTCATCTGGAAAGATATATTACGGCGACTGCTTTTTGCTATGAATGTAATAGCAGTACACAAATGTTTCTCTAACTGTTACGAAGTCATATATATCATCAGAGTTCCCTTCATAAAATCTTCCAAGCATTTTCATATCAAAATCTACGCGTGCCTGCTTTGATGCCGTCATCAGCTTGTGGAGGACCCATGTGCAAAAAGATTCCAAACAATTAGAGATAACCTTACTAGATCATTTGAAGTTGACTTTTGCTAATGCACACACATCCATGAATTTTTATTAAACGTCAGTATCTTGTCCTTTTCAATCATACTGTGTATTCTCTTCACATTTCTTGCGTTTTTGCAGTCAGCAAATGACTGTTAGGTTGTTCATCACAGCCAACCTTTCGTCTCCACGATAGAGTTTGTTAAAATGATTAAAACAGTGAAACAAAGGGTTTTTTCTGCCTGAAACGCAAACTTGTAGTTTTTATGTGGCGAGAAACATATTGGAACATAATTTAAAATCCTTATTTAGAAATTTTTAGTTTTGAGACGGTAAACTTATCTGAAAAAATACAAAACTATCATTATAGTTTAACGTCAGTTTCCTGCTGAGATATGAATACAATTATTTCGGACGAAATGCTATTTGTAGTTTAAATTTGTTGCACCATCATCCGTACCATACCTGCAGCACAAAACACAGGACTTACCTTTCTTCATTCCGCGTTCCCAGACCTACAAATTTTCTTTGCTACTCTCATAAATGAATCCTTTTTGTTATTTTAAAATTAATGTAATATGAAGTGTTACTATTTAGCTGCAAGATCACCAGTCACCAAGCATCATGGTACTATGCCTGAATCTGTATCTGAATCCTTCTGAATCTGTACACATCTTACCCCCATTTTCATTGCAAAACAATTTTTTAAACGATCTCTGCTCAAATAATTTACGTACGTACGCAGCGATCGTATTCGAGGATCCACTTGCAAGAAATCTTAAGGATCTGCTAGAAAATCCTCGAGTCTCAATTCTCAATAACTTTTGCTTTTTAAATTTCGGGATCCCTCAGTCTCGAGAAAAATCATTCGTAAAACTGGAAATTTAAAACAGATAAATGAATATGCCATCTGACAAATTTTGATTTTCGTATTCTGAAAGCTGTTTTCTTAACAGATTGAGGATGCGAATCACAGCTTATCGATGTGAGAATAATTCAATTATTTTAAATGAAAGATCAGAAGAATACTGAAAGATTTGGGATCATTAAACGATAACATATCCGATAAAAGTCAAGAAAAATGTGAAAAAATATTTAACATTTCATAAGTTTTCTAAGAAATGTGTTATTTTTGTTTCAGTGATAGAAAGCTTAAGTTTTTCTATTTATTTTTTTCCACAGGAACTTCACTGTTCTGTACCACCCCAAATATGGAAAATGTTACATGTTCAATTTCTTACAAATGAAAAACGAAGATTCAGAAATGCCATTAGAGATTTACAACCACGGAGGACATAGTGGTTAGTATAAATTTAATCTGTGAAACTGAGCATTTAATAAGCTTGATTTCGTTTTCAAATCCTTTTATACTGTGGCTAATTTGAGAGTACGTTTAAATTATTTAATTCTGAAGATTTCAGTACCTTTTTATTCGAATCATTTATCCATTTGTTATTTATTTTTAATTATGAGTAACGTATTTCAGTTATACAGTATTTTTTCTTAGCATTTCCGTCAACTTTATCAGAAGATTATACTTCTTCTGATAATCTTGGGATCCCAACTGTGAGAATTCTATTTGTGCTTTTGCTGTGTTTCTACCTATAACTGAGACAGCCTACTTAAGCCATAGGGCCACTTGTGGTCAGAAGGAAGGTCTGCTCCCCACAAACAAACTACATTTGATCAATTACTAAAAATTTAGAACTCGGTATTTGCATATGCAATCACCGTTCAAAAGCTCTAGCTTGTGGATAATCAAACTGCAATGGCAGCGATGCTGCAGATAGAACTACTCATAAAAATATCTTTCAATATAATTAAAAAAGTATACAATTTTTAACACACATTATTTATTTTTCCTTTCCAAAGTTTTTCTTTGTGTCAGCTAATCCACATCTTCAGCTGGAGTGAATTTTTGTGCATACCTGGATATTGTCACGTAATTATTCCCCCATTAGGTAGCCATAAAGCAGATCTGGTAACAAGTGTAACGAAATAATTTTCTTGATGCAATTGCCATCCCTATTTATGTTAGAATTAATTTTGGTTTTAAAGAATAAGTTCGTAAATAAAAATTCTAAGGAGAAAGTAGATTAACAATCTATCCATTCTGAATATTGTGGTGAACCGGACGTGATGTTTAAAGATAAGTGTCAGAGAATTTGTTAATATTGAATTTATTGATATAAGATTTTATTAATATGGAAAATATTATTAAAGAAGAGCACCTGTTAGAGCAACGTTCACAAAGCTTTATAATTCGTTAATAGGGTCTTTAAATGAAACAGATTTAAAATGCGATTGAATTGAAATTTAATTTTCTTCTTTAGAGAGAATTACTAGAGGTTTGGCTGAACTAGATGATAAAATTTGCACTGCTTTTATAGACGCCAAATCTGAATATTTTGATGCTGAATACGAGAAAAATTAGATGTAGCTTGCATTTGTACAAAAGCATGTGTTCCGTCTTTTGGTAGATAGATGGTGCTCTTGCTGCGCGTCGAACAAAAAATATTCTACTTGACGCTTGAACAAAAAGAATGACTCATGCCTTATTTTTTTTATGCTTGATTACGTTTTCATGGCCGCTATATGCGGAAGTAATATATTATATATTTAAGTTCTATCGTTAATAAATGTGATTTCTGTGTTCTGTGAAATTCTGAAGTGTTGATCGTCAATTTAATGCTCTCCTAACCTGATCTTGAAAAACTTGACATTATGACTCATCATACACTATATTTTTGGTGCCGAAACCTGGGAAAAGGGGAATTACCTATTGAACGGTAAGAATTTGGATTTATTTGCATGAAAGCTTATCAATCTCTGGAAAATAGTTAAGAATGTCTATTGAAAAGTTGAAATCGAAACGTTCTTCAGTAACAAAAGCTTCAGCTTCAGCTTCAGTAACAAAAACTTTGACTAAAGCTGAACATTTGCTTTCGATTTCTGATCTAAATGAACAAAATATCCTGGAATTGAATGAATTTTTAGAGATTTTAAATAACAAGCATGATTCCTTAAAGTAGCTTGATAAAGAGATTGATACTCATATTACTGATATGAATGAATATGAAAAGGAAGTAAACATAAATGAAGACTATAATGAAAAATTCATTTGTAGTAAATTGAAAATTTCTAATTGTATTAAAAATTATGAAAAAAGTTGTGCCAGAACAAATAATGATGATAATAGCGCACATAATGTTGTTTCGAATGTTCCTAATGTGTCCATAAAACTTCCTAAACTGACACTAGAAAAGTTTTCTGGTGATTCTAGTAAGTGGCTAGAATTTTTTAATGCATTTTAAAATTCGATTCATAAGAATCCAACTGCAAAGAAAGTCGAAAAATTTACATACTTAAAATCTTTGCTTGTTGGACAAGCTTATAATTGTGATTCTGGTCTCTGTTTGACTGAAGATAACTATGATAGTTGTTTAATGTTGCTTAAAGAAAGATTTGGAAGAAAACATTTAGTCATAAACAGCCACATGAACACGTTATTGAATCTGAAACTTGTTAAAAATTCAAACAATATTTATGTATTGCGTAAACTTTATGATCAGCTTGAAATAAGCACAAGAAATTTAACGTAACGTAACGTAACGTAACTCGCTTAACGTAACAAGTGGCAGTTATGGACATTTGTTAAATTCGATAATATTAAAATTACTTCCACAAGATTTGCCATTAGAGTTTCAAAGAAAACGCACTTCTAAAGAGGATTACGAAATAAACGGACTTGCTGAGCTCATAAAAAATGACGTCGAGTGTCGCGCAGCCGTTGTCGTCCATAAATAACTCGCGAAGTTTAAAAACAGCGGAACAAATTATTCGAAATCAGCCGTCATTTAGAACTAAAAACACTCATTATAACAATCCTAAATCACAAGCCTCTGCTTTTAACACATCGGTAAAAGTGTTTTGCATATTCTGCAAATCAAACGAACATACATCTGCCAGATGTTTGAAATTTTCCGACGTGCAAAAACGAAACAAATTAAAAGGTGAAGATCGTTGTTACAGATGCTTTCTAAAATCAGATCTGTCATCGGATTGCAGGTCAAAAATACAACCATGCGAAAATTGTAACGAGAAAAATCATAATAAACTTTTCTGCCGTTTGAAATCGAAAGAAAAGGAAGATGTTAAATCTGCAGATACGCAAAATAAAACTTTAGTATCTACTTCCCACTGTAATACTCTAGTGTCCTAGACTCTTCCCACTGTAATACTGAAAATAGTGTGCTTTTACAGACATATTCTGTTATTGCTCAAAGCAAAAATAAATCGAGAATCGTAAGATTATTAATTGATTCAGGTAGTGAATCACCACAAGTTAGCGCACGATTTAGAATTGCAAGTCATTAGAAAAAAATGTCTAATCATTTATTCGTTTGGAAATCAGCGCGGTAACTCGCAAGAATTTGTTGTATATAGTCTAAAAATAAAAAATAAAAATGGTGATCGCTGCGCTTGTTGTAGAAGCTATTGTGATAGAATTAATATCATCAATGTCAAAACATTAAAGAATTTATGACAAAAAGGGTTTGGAACTTTCGGATACAAGTCCCGTTAATGAGAACATAAATATTCTGCTTGGCGTGGAGCATTTTTGGTATATACAAACAGGAAGTATTTCAATGATAAATGATGGTTTTTTTATAGTACCGACGATATTTGGATACACAGTGATGGGTAAAGTAAAAAATAATAATACTCGAATTAATGCGTTGTTTTTATCTGCCGTTGAAGGAAACACATTTGATTTGCAGTCATTTTGGAAATTGGATTCGATAGGAATTGAAAATGAAAACAAAACATTTTCGGAAACTGATTTGGATACTATTAAGCATTTTAACGACAGTTTAAAATTTAATAACGGCAGGTACGAAACAAAACTCTTTTGGAAGGACAATAAATCACAACTCGCTGATAATTTTTTCGTTGCTAAACAACGATTTCTAGGACTAAAGCATAAATTAAAGGGAAATGATTTCCTATATAATGAATATGATAATATAATTAGAGAACAAGTTGAAAGGGGGATTGTTTGAACAATGTAAGTTTGTTGAAAATGAACCTAACTGTTATTATATGCCTCATAGGCCCGTTATACGTGAAGGAAAAGTAACAACAAGAATAAGAATAGTTTATGATGCCTCTTCTAAGTCTGAAGGAGCTAAATCGTTAAATGAATGTTTGATATCAGGCCCTAATTTAAATCCTAACTTGTTGGATATAATTTTAAAATTTCGCGTACATAAAGTTGCATTTTGTGCAGACATAGAGAAGGCTTTTCACCAAATTCAAATTGATAGTGAAGATAGAAATTTTTTAAGGTTCTTGTGGTTTGATCATTCTTACGACAATAGTGACAATAGTTTAGGCTTTAAGGTTTTCCAAATGTGTCTAGTACTGTTTGGGATGACAACAAGTCCGTTTATTTTGTCCGCCACCATCAAACATCATATTAAGAGTTATGAAAAGAAATATAGCAAAGCTGTTGACATGTTAAATAAGTCCATATATGTTGATGACCTTCTCCATGGAGCAGACACCGTTGATGAAGTTTTTTTCATTATCAACTGATGCAGTTAAAATTCTTCAAGACGCTGGTATGAACTTAAGAAAATTTGAATCAAATTCCGTATCTTTAAAAAATCATTGGCAAGATATTGGTTTAATTAATAGGTGTTCCACTAAAATTCCCTAAGGGAAATGAAGTTTGCTTTCTGAGGGGGGGAGGGGGGAATACAGTTAGAACACAGGAACGAGGATGTCACATATAGATCCGGCACTGTGCGTTGATATTATATTTGTTTCAATCATGTGTTACTGTTTTCAATAAATAATCAAAAGACAACTCGTGTGAATTAAATGACTCAACACTTCAGAACGAAGATATCACAATAACTGTTAGTGAATGCCGGACGTGATTTCAACCTTCTGATGGAATGTGAACCTTTCTTTGTTTTGGAAGTTTCTGATTTGCGACCATGGAATTGAGGTAGGTTCCTTTAGATTCAGTTCTTGACGTGTTATGATTTTGTATGTGATAGGAACTTTTGAATTTATAGTGGTGATTTAATTATTTCGTTGTTGTAAATTGATTTGAAATTTAGTTTTGAAAACAGAAGTAGTTTATGCAAACATGGTGAAACGAGTTGAAAGGTTAAGGCAAAAACGAAACTGCATTAGGAAGCTTTTTTGTAATCTTTTGGCAAAAATTGAAGACGCAATAAATAAACCTTTAAGTTAAATTTACAGTAAAGAACAAAAACTTGATGATCTT